GGTGCTTATCCTCTCTCGGTCTGTCATGAGACCGCTCTCGAGGCTGTTCCTGAGATAATTCACGAGACCTTTCCCGTTCCCTTTCATTCCCAATTTCCCGAGATTTCTCACTGGACAGACAAGGCAAACATTATAAGCTCATAATCAGTCATAACAACGCAAAAAAAATTCAGTGATGAATGAAAATATAAAAAATTATTGCTACCGCTCTTCCCGTGGTCTAGTTGGCTCCTGTGACTGGGATGTTTTTCCTTGTTGTTGTTCTCCTGCTTTTTCTTCACCACCACCGACTCTTGAGGTCCCAAGTCCACCACCAAGCCTGCGTGGACGCCAGTTTGGGACAGTTCTACCTCTCTCAACATCAACCAACACTCTTCTACCGTCAATCTTTTGTCCATCAGCTTGTTTATACGCAGCTGTAAAAAGAGCAACGAAGCACATTCAGTAAAAAAGAACAAGCATCCCAGGGAGAGAAAAAAAACAAGATCCAAGAGAAAAACAGATGCAATTGGACCTTTCATGTCACGGGTGTGCATGTACTCAATGAAAGCATACCCTCTTGGTTTATTAGTCAGCTGATCAGTCACCAACTGAACCTGAGGAATTTCAGAATAAGACATTATCAAATCAAACATCTGCAAGAACACAATCTACTTTCAGATAAAAGTCTGTTTCATATCAAACAAACAGGCAGCTCTATAAGGCACGCAACCTTTATTTTAATAAGCTTCCAAATCCGTGACCGTCACCACCCACATCAAGAATTGGCAGTAAAATGGATGCATTGCAGCAAATTTACCATTCCTGAAGGGTCTAATAAACCACCCCTTACCAGGGTATAGAAACCTCTTTAAAATTTAGATTACCTAAAATGTATTAAATGTGAACTCCTTCATAGTAACCAAGTCCCAGATACGAATTTCTATAGATACTAAGATATGAAAAGAGAGAAGGGTTTCTGATACTCCCAAAATACCAACACCATAAAGAGTATAATACCAGTAACCTTGGTTGCTAAAAATAAAATAAAAAGCTTAGATTTACTGGCCAACTCGGTATTTCTGCATCATGATGAATCAAGGCTTGGGATTATAGGCAGAAAATATTTTTTACTGGCTTACCAGGATGAGTTAGGGTCAATATAGATTGAGTAAATACCTCATTCATTAGGTAACCCTTGCGCCTACAACCTCTATATCATGGTAAAAGGATAGAGTATTTGTCTTCTAGAGGGACAAATAAATTAGCAACTATACCAGGTCCTGCTCCGAAACAACTCACAAGAGTTTTGTGACATAACAGGAGACTGACTTTATGCATCTGCAATTTTATTATTTGGGAAAGTTCTAAGAGACTGCATAAAATTACACAGCTAAGAAGGCATGCATCTGGCTTTACACAGTCTAAGAAGGCATGCATAGCAATTCAATCCCCTAAAAGCGGCAAACTTTAAGGGCATTGAAAATTCATTACCTTGAGGAGTTTTGTACATAAAATTAAACATACAGAGCTTGAGAGAGGGAAGCCATTACATAAATTCTTACCGAACCCGCAAGGGAATGGCTCAGAATTACCTACCCGTTTAATTGGTCCATAAGATTCAAACTCCCTTTTAATCTTACTCTCAGCGGATTCATAGTTCTGCAAAACGAAAACAGGCCAAAGTCAAGTACAACAAAACTCACAGGTCTAAGAAAAGCCATTCAACACAAAACAGCACTACTTACGAGTCTTGAAACAAATAATGTCTTGTATGGATCTCCAGTAGCATTTGGATCATTATTCGGGTCATCTGCAAAAAAAAAATGATTTGAAATATAACTTGGATTCCCAAATCTGTAAGAGGGAATGGAAGAAACATACATAAAAACATATAGTGAATAAAAATTAACAGTGGATTACATTTCTTTAAGTCCTCTGAAGCTTTTTCAACACCTTTCTCCAGTCGTAGCTTAAGAATTCTCTCCCTTTTCTGCGACTGGACCGTGAAACAAAATACACAAACTATAAGACATTGACTTGTGTAAATGCTGCCATAATCCAAAAGAGTTTAAGGTGCATCATACAGGTAGTTCAACTTCTGGCTTAGGTGGAGCGTATTCTGGATCCCCAGGCTCAGCAAAGTTACTCACAAACAGAGCCATGCCTGAAATGAATACACGAATCAAAACTTAAAATCCAAAGCTAACGAGAAAATAAAGATAAAAACATATAATCAGATATATACTAAAGCTCAGACCTGTATAAGGCGGGCATTTCCTCTTCTCCGGTGGTGGTTTGTACTCCAATGGCGGTCGTGGCTCAAAGAGCTTCAATAGATTGTTTGTTAAGCCAGTAGGGTGGCTTTGGCCCATCTGCAAAAACAGAAAGACACATGATTTTCAAGCAATCAGACTAATTAGAAGAAAAAAATAATGTGCACAAGATCAAACAGTCTCTAATTTACAATCGATCATAAGCCCCAGATTCAGAATCTTTATAGTAACTTCAATTACAAAACTAGATACCGATTGTTTCAAATCAAGCGGATATAGAACCAAAGTAAGCATCAATGGATTTTGAGTATTCAATCGACAGACTCGATACCGAAGTGGAATAACCCATATCGAATCTGGAAACCAATCACTAGACCGATAGAAAACGAAGCTAAAAACCGAGAGAGAAAGAGACAAATAAACAAGGGTTTTAGAATCAACCGAATCCGAGATAAGAGACGAACCAGTTTCAGCTGAAGAACATTGGCTCTGGTCTGACCTTTAGTGCGCGCTTGAACGGCGGCGTTCTGGTTACGCATGAAAGGATCGCCGGAGTCTCCCATGGCGGCAAAAGATCTCAGAGCTAGGGTTTTTCGGGAGGAAGAAGATGGAGGAGATTCGCTGAGATCAAAAACCCAAATGAATCTGAAACCGGATCCGGGTTATTTCAAAATCGGGTCGAGATCTGAAACATAACTTAAGGTTAAAACGATGCCGTGTCAATATAGCCGGCCCACACCAAGACCCTCTCAGTGAACAAGAGGGTTTTAACATCATATCCCCAT